ATGCAAATCTGAGCAAACGGCAAAACAATAGCTCAGTTACGACAAATCAAACAAACAAACAATAATGACAATAATACTGCTAACAATAATTTAGTATAAAATGATGACAGTATAATTACGTCAATGACACCAACATTATTCTGGCTCTAATCGCGCTCACTGTCAAAAAATCATCAACGCCACACACTCTTACCTGATCATTTCGGATCTTCTGCATTTGTCCAGGTAGTTCAGCGGGTTTTGTCTCAACGTCGACGTCAGCGTTTTCTGTTTCAATGTAAGCCGCGAGTCGTTCGAATTCGACGATATTCTGCTCGAATTCCGCATCCGTCTGATTGCCGAGCAAAAGGTCCTTCAGGTTATCAGGTGCCATCTCCTGAAGGTTAGTGATTCGTTAGGTTCCGTGCAAATGGAGAGGAAATGAATGTAGCACGACACGACGCGACGTAACGTATAGCGAAACTGATAAATGACAATATCTCAATGATGCGGTAATCAAGTTACTTAGTTCAAATCTACACTGATTCAACTCTAAAACTTTGCCTTAAGTCTAAACCTAAGCCTAATCTAAAGCCCAGACCTCAACCATACGCCGCCAGTAATGAGTAAACTCATAATAATTTTGCTTTATTAGTAAGAGTACTCGTTTATTAAACGTATGTTACTTCGCTAAATACAAATAATATTACCCCAATTATATATACAACATTATAATACGTACAATACCATAACTATGATAACAATGAATATTATCATTTTAACTAGAATAACCATAATAATATCAACAATAGCAATAATCATAACAATAGCAAATCCACTGATAGTCACATGCAAAAATAACCAAAACAGTATCGTATAGTGATACTATGAAATCGCTCACTCGTATGAGTGTAATCCTGTTCATGTTGCAATAAGCTGCTACCTATCCGTCATTATAAAATCAAGTATTTTTGCGTTGATTCACTCATTTATAAATAATACAAAACACACAACTTTTCACCACTGAAGTCATCAAGTCATGACCTGCTGACTTGGGTGAATAGCTAACTTTGCCAGATGCTGAGGTAAATAATCATACGATAGGCGTGATGGGAACGAATTCCTCATCGCATCAGATATCGCACAAAATAGTAACATATGGATTTGCCATTGAGTAAACAAGTAAATTACTTTCAAATGTCGCGCAGTCACTCCTACTGGTTCACTGATGGAAAACAACGTAAAGCTCGTAAACAATCATTGGGATATAAACATCGGAAAGTGCAACAAGCGAAACATTGCGCGATAAAAACATAAAAGAAAAATAGGGATGAAAGATGTTCGGGAAAAAGTAAGAATAAGGAGTTAACGAGGAAGAAAGGAAGCCAATTGTAAGGATAATGTGAGCGCATCAACATGATCCAATGGTTTTGGTGTTTTCCAATTAGATTCGAATACGAAAGATAAATGAGGAAATTCATATGGTGAATATATGTTTTTATCAAATTACACAGAGATTATCTTCCATGAAGTAGGTAGATGGAGAATGAACAGAAAATACTTCAGCATGAAAAACTTTCTTAAAAAAATCGAAGACAGACCTTCAGACTAATTTTTTTGCTTAACATGGATTTATGTTACAGAGCGGTGTGGTGCAGGGAATGGAAAACAGCGAACAAGAGAAAAATGACACTGGTTTCCATCCTAAAATTTCCAATCAGTCCGCAAATTTGCAGTCCGGAAACCCGAAAATGCAATCGGTCTGAAGAAAGTCGAAGACAGAGACCCGTTCCAATTCCACCGTCCCCAACTTTTTTTAGGGCGACTGCAGTTTTGGGGTCCCCAACCGCAAATTTCGTCCTTGACTTTCCCCGTCCCCGACCTGCTTTATCCCGGATTTTCTTCATGTCCACATCGCGCTGATGCCATACTCACAAAAGTAGTATACGGTAAGTTTAT